AAGCATTCGAACTCTACATATTTTCGTTTGTAAACCAGAAATAAGTCGTAAGACAATATTAATTTATCATAGCCTATATTGCCCAGTTTTTATTCTTACATCCTTTTTACTCTAGTTATTAAATTAGCAGAAATAATTTTGCTTCAACTAAGACATATTTAACCTTTTGTCATAAAGAACAACCAAGATGATGCTGATGCATGTTAAATCAGCCATATTTTGTTACCTAGAGTTAAAGCAAAAATTGCATTATATAGTCAGATGATGATCATATTATATGTGTAGAGCTTGGTGTCCTTTGTAGATTAAACATTGATTTAAATACACCACTGTGGGTCATAAGAAAACAGGAGAAAGAACCACAACTTGAAACTCTCAGACACCAGATTGTTGTTAACTTGGAACACAACTGTACTATAATAAATCTAATATTGATTTACTGCATTTCTCAGAGGTTGAATCATTCATTGTCTTGATGTCCATGACGATTTGAATGAAGGCAAACTCTTTTACAATTTAGACAGGATGGAGAATGCGTTAAATACATCAACTTTTACATCAATATCCTAGGACTAATAAGTACTGTGAGTAGCCTGTTGTAAATCTAGCTATAATTACTAGAATTATTTATTATTTATATTCTTATTTTGAATTTGTTAAAAACAAAGTCTTACCCCAAAACTTCTATCATCCAGTTTTTCCTTTAAGAAGTCATGTAAAATATGTGTAGAATAAAGAACATCACCCCCCCCCCCTCATATCAGTAATTAGACAAAGACGAGGCTTTTACTGGAACCTGGAATACAAAAGTTAAGCGGATACCAAATAATCAATGTTTATGAAGTTTAGTATTTTCTTTGTAGAGCTTCTAATCTTTTTACAGGTACATATATATAGCTTTTTAGAACTTCAGCAGGAAATTTCTAGATGGATTGCACACTGCAACACTCCAGAATCACATCAATCTATATTTAGAACCATGCTGAACGAAAAGGTGGTCTCCTTAGTCTGTAACATATCCATACTATCCCTGGAAGAAATGTGTTTCCAACCTGCCTAAACTTATATTGGGGTCACTGGATATGTCTAAAGACAAAAGGTGTTCTCCTTAGTCTGTAACATATCCATACTATCCCTGGAAGAAATTTGTTTCCAACCTGCCTAAACTTATATTGGAGTCACTGGATATGTCTGAAGACAAAAGGTGTTCTCCTTAGTCTGTAACATATCCATACTATCCCTGGAAGAAATGTGTTTCCAACCTGCCTAAACTTATATTGGGGTCACTGGATATGTCTGAAGACAAAAGTCGGAACGTATTTATCATCTGTCTGTTTCTAAGATCATTACATATTTTACCCTTATCAACAGTAAATATTCTGCTCTACACTGGAAGTACAGACATGATTATCTTCTTCAGCGAGACCAGATGAAGATCGTTTGACTATCTTCACCATTGTTCATCTGAAGACGTATACATATTTATTAATTGTTTATACATTTTGCCATCCGTTTATGGTTTATTTTAGCTCAGTTACGTTCCATTGCCAAATAAAAGGTATGTCAATTTTAAAAGTGTAGCATTCATAACATTTATATTTACCAGTTGTCTGAACGATCTTGTATTTCATATTCTAAAGTGAATGTTTTACAGAAGATAATAGAAGTTGTAATATCTCCCATCAGGTGTTATGAACAATAACACAGAAAGATACGTTCTGGCACTGAATAGGTACATTTCATTTATAAACTAAGTTAAAATTACACGATCTTGCTTACATACTGAACTGGAATATTGTCATGCAAGTCGCTTGGAATTATGCATAAAAACCTTATTGTAAACTAACCTTTGCGTTCTGTTAGTGTCATCACAATTCCTGGAACAAACTGTTGCCCTCACTACGAAATGTGCCGTATCTTAACTTCATTTGAAGAACGTTCGTTCATAATAACGATCTAGTATCTTGTAATTCAAAGTGAATGTTCTACAGAAGTGCCAAAGTTTTGATGTCCTATCGGATGTCATGATAAACATAAAATGTTGATATTTATTTCACCTAATTGATAATTAAAAATTTGAAAAGGGTTACATATGTTAATGGATTTTCATCTACGGTAAGTAGTTTGGTTAGGAAAAACGTTTTACAAAGCACAATGCCAGTGTTACTATAATTAGTTTGAGAACAACTAAAAAGTAAACGGTAAAATCATATATGAGAATGAACATAGGCTAAACTAAATTGAATACTGTCCTTCTAGTTATTTTTCATTTGTACATGAAAATGTAGAGTTTGAATGCTTGAGATTAAAAACAAAAAAAAAAACCTTTTCAGGACTAGTGTAGTTGTAAGATAATCCAGTGTTTGTATAGTCATATATTTAAACATAAGACCAAATTCGTATTTCGTTACAGTTAGTTAATGTAATACATATAATATTTATGTAGAATTTGAACATTTCACCTGTAAAGCAACACGAAACAATTAGTTTAAGAACTACTTAGATTGTAAGTTAAATTAGCGTATGGTTACGAGTACGGGGAATAGGATAAATTTCTAGAGCTTGAATACTAATATGTAAAACAGGCCTCTATGTAGATAGTAATTAAACTAATGTATGGCTGTTCATAAGTGTAAACCATAAAGTACACTATACAAATAGTACTAAATGACATGTTAATTTTACGTATTCAAAGAACGTTTTTATTATTGTTTTTGAAATCAAATTATAAATTTTATTCTAATGATAATGAAGAAACTAATATCGTGTTAAGAACTACAGAGAATGAAATATTAAATTCCTTGTAACGTGATTTATATGATATACACATAGAGAATCAGTGTTTTATGCTAATACAATCTAAGTAAAGCACTATTTTTCATAAGTTGTATTGTTATAGGGTAATGATCTCTTTGTTATCCCCTACAGATGCGCTTTCGAACTATCCGCACTCTAGCAACACATTTTGGAACCACCTGCTCTCAGGCACTACTTTGTAGAAATATGGCGTCATGTGACCTCTTCATCCTCAAAGGGTACCTCCCAATGAGCGTCACTTTTTTTATCTCCCCTCTCCCTCATGCTCACAGTCCCCAGCATCCTTTGAGCCGGAGTCAGGAGCCTTAACTACCCTATCATCAACTAAGGATAGCAGATTATACATCCCATGATGTCACAAACAGTATGTCTCCCATCATCTAAAGAACATAAAACATTTAGTAATAATATGAAAGCAAAATCATGTTAATTCTGTATGCAACCTTCTGAAGTTAAAATCCAGCAGTAGCTCACGTCACTTTTACAGAGTAACGACTGTGCAGACCAGTGTAAGATAATTACAACCAGCAGAAGCTCACGTCACTTTTACAGAGTAACGACTGTGCAGACCAGTGTAAGATAATTACAACCAGCAGAAGCTCACGTCACTTTTACAGAGTAACGACTGTGCAGACCAGAGTAAGATAATTATAACCAGCAGAAGCTCACGTCACTTTTACAGAGTAACGACTGTGCAGACCAGTGTAAGATAATTATAACCAGCAGAAGCTCACGTCACTTTTACAGAGTAACGACTGTGCAGACCAGTGTAAGATAATTACAACCAGCAGAAGCTCACGTCACTTTTACAGAGTAACGACTGTGCAGACCAGAGTAAGATAATTACAACACAGAACTCATACTTTCAGATTATCATTAATGGAAACATTGCTTTCATTGTCCCACTTACATAATCAGCACAAATGTTCATAAGAACGTTACTACAAACCAAATGGCTGATTCAAAAGAACAAGGTGTAAAAATAAATTTAAACTTAACCAAACTAGTGTAATTACTGTCTTTAGTTTATTTTATCAAGTTAACAGAACTTCATTTCTTCAGCATCCATACACAGAAAGACGGGAACCTCATCGTGACGTATAATCTAACATCTCTTCTCAACCTAGTTCTGTTTTATCGAGTTATACGCCCTTCAACAATTCACAAAATAACACCCAAACACTCTTTAACCATTTGTGGCATTAATGTGTTTCTTACACGAAAACCACTCTACATAAATAAAGGGCTCGTAGACTATATCTTGTATAACATATGATATAAAACAACTCAGAAAAGCTGTTAAAAATTCAACTTTTCTCATAAAAGTAACTTAAACCTAGGTAAAAAATATCTAACATTTTTTTGGTCATTTCTACTTTTTCACCTTCCATTAGGTGGAAATTTTCTAAAGAACAGGATGCTTCAAACATTAAAAATTGTTTAGGATTGTACTAATAGGAATATAGGTCACTTGTTTAGAAAATGGCTGGATTTTCGGTAAACAAACACGATCTCTTACAGTTATCTATGATATTCCATATTCTGGAAAGCAAAGAATATGGTACCTTAGCAGAGCGTTATCTTCCAATGGTAGTGATTTCACGTGACCCTATTAACAAATCAGCGTTAGACAGCATCCTTTGTATTTTAAACAGGCCCTCTAACTGCTACAGTCTATTATCAGATAGCTATCTACTAGTGGAAGTGACGTCCTAACTAAAGAACTCCAAAAACAACAAAAAAGTCCTGTCTGAGCAGAATTTATACAGAAGCATTATTTATTGAAAACACTAAAACCAAATATAAGCAGAAATAAAGAGTGACAAGCATAATCTTTATCTATTGTCTATAACAATTAAATAAAAGTAGAATTTTGAGTATTACGGAATTTACTCAGTCTTTTTGCAGGTGGACGTTCACTTATATAAAAAAAACAACTGTTATCTGTGTAGTTCGAAAAAGCAAACAGAAACAAAGAAGGATTCTGACTATGCAAGTCAACCTCCGAAAGTTTATTAAGCTCATTTTGAATTACTTTATACATAGACAGGCCACTGTTACACCAGCTTCTTCCTCTTCTTCCCGTATGTAGATAGCGAGTGTTAAAAGTATTAGGAACAGACAAGTTCTAATAAACTGAAAAAGAGCCTGAAAACACCAATGAGTTAGATAATTAGATTAACCTGGTTAGATCCGAGATGGCGCTTGGCTGTCCAGTAGACCGCTTCTTGGATGGAGTAACAATGGAACAACTCGGATTGCAGTTAGTCAGGATCCCTGGATGATCTTTCCTAGCAACGACACAAAGGCTGGAAAACACCATGACGACAACGAAGTCTATAATACATGCATAATCATATCCATAAGAATCGTAACAGAATATAGATTGAAGGCTCTCTAACAAAGTATACTGTAGAATGCCTTGTGTATTATGCCGTTTTTAGGTTGATATGAAAACTATGAGGGTACGATATACTACGACATGCGAAATTTTCGTAAAACAAACAGCCATAAGGATGCCGCTGTCACGGTTTGATTATATCTCATGAAACCATAAAATTTTAATTCAACAGTATTTAACCGAAAATTGATGGTAGTTGAAAGTTTTAAATTATTTTACTACAAATAAATTATGTTGAATGAAATGGATTTCTACCCTTACCAAGTTCAAAAGTTTCAATAAGTCCGACACACAAGTTTGAATAACAACAATATATCGCAGTTAAAATGAATTTGACTTCACTTTGATATGCACTTCAAAATTTTTATGTAACTTTTTAATTTGACAGTTGATTTTTAAGATTTCTCGTCGTTTTGATAACCCTAAGATTTTAATATAATGCACTTTAAACGTTTTAGACAAAAGTGATTTTCACACTTCACTTGAGTAAAAACCACTAAAGTCCAACTGTAATTTTATTGAAATAATTACATTTTCCTAAACATTATTACTTTTAAAGAAAAAAAAGGCATATTTATGTATAAATTGTTTTAAAAACCTCAACTTGTGTCTATACTTTTGAATTTACCTAAAAACAATAAAATACGCCCCCTAAAAATTCAAACAAAATAAACTTGAGTGAAGAACGACTTATACGACTATATTTTGTGAGTGTGTTTTTTATACTTGTCACTGGAATTTATTAATGTCGCATGCTTTATAAGAAAATCAAAAAGAAGAACAAAAAATAGTTTATGATAACAACATTGCATTTACATTTAGCACATGACAAGAACAAGGTACAGTATAAGGCAAATATGTAACTCTAGTTAGTGACACGCCTATGAATTTAAAAGAAAAGCTGTTTCGCGGGGTGAATAGAAGAGGAAGTCACCGATTTACATCCGGGGAAGCAAGTGTTATGCTTAGCTAACTTCTTAAGCATATTTTGCAACTCGTAATGTGTAGCAACTCCTATAAATTAGATAAAAAAATATTCTTGTATATTATAACAACTTATAATAGAAATCCGACATTTTAGGTTTCACGTGTTTAGTTTTATTTAATTTTTTTAGCAACTTAACAGTGATACCCTGCAGTGAATGACTTTAGTTTCTACAATGAAATCAAATTAATTTTCTATGTATCTTTCTTACAGTTCCTGATAAATACCAACTTATTAATACTTCATTCTGTCTGTAGAGGCTGAACGATAAGGTAGAATGGACACAAGTTAGCAAATACACGGAAGCTTCATCTTTCGCTCTAAGGATGTTATCTAAAGAAAATACTTATCATAGTAATTTTCATTAATAGCAGCATTCTTCATATGCGAATTATTAATATTACGTGTTTCCTTTGAAGTTGTTTTAGCGCAAAGCTACACAAAAATGGATTTATCTGCGCTCTGCCCACTTCGGGGAATCGAACCCCGGATTTGAGCACTGTAAGTCCGTAGAAATAACAGTGACTCACCAGGGAAGCTTATTTGGCTGAAATAAAATTCTTATGGAAGTTTACCATATTAAAAACCCGATAAAATAGCACTTTCCATTGGCTTACTTGTCATCTTTATGAATGGAGGCAGAATCCCTTACTAGTAAAGACAGGTTCATCTGTCGAAAGCGCTTGGATTTTGTGTGATTTACTATACTTTTCTAATCGTACACGTTTTTTACTATTGTTAGTTTGTTTTCAAACAAGTAAGTTTTAAAATAAAGATGGTGAGCTGACATATATATCGTGTTGAGGTGAGTCCATATAGATATGACATCAAGGCTTTCACCATAACAGATTAACTGTAAACGTAAAAATCATTATTTAAATTTTACTTGGAAAACATAGTATGCACACCATATTGAATCATTTAAACTGATTCCGTCCGAAATAGAAGGGAATAGTTAATTCAGAAACAAGAACTATAACATATCTAACCAAAAACACCTTAGGTGTGAAAAAAGGTGCGGTCAAAAAAGGATTGAGTGTGTGGCTTAAAATAATGCAATCAAAATTGGCGGCCAAACTGGTAGCTACACTTATAGCATTGATAAGAATTTT